TAGACCTTGACCTTTCCAGGTAAAAAAATATATGTTTCGAAGCGACTGAAGGAGAGAAACATGATAGTGTCATTGCCAATTCTTCATCTTCTGGTTAAAAAGCTATTCGTGAAAAATGTTTTATCCTAAAAAGCTATTTTCAAAATATTTGACCTATGGAGTCTTAACCGTTGACCTGAGGTCAATTTTGATAATAGACGTGTTGCGCTATGCAAAAATGCTACTTTTTTCGCACGTACTAGTAGCTATTTGATCTGAAAACTCCAACGGTGAAAAAATCAGCTTGATTCATGAAGTTTAAATGCCTTAAAAATCGGTTTAAACGTCAATTATTATCACGTGACTAAATAACGAGCGCTGATTGGTCGTGACGTCACGATTCGTATCCAGCGAGCCCCGTGAAGGTTGGCTGCATTATGTTAGTATTGGTCGGCGGACGAAGGTGAATCTTTGTGGAAGAAAGATGGTAGGTACCTACAAAGCAAAATAAGTGGTGTATTACTCCAGAATGTACTAGTAGGTACTTCATCCTCAACACCTGATAAAGTGTTTGTTAACCCGCGCACCGACGGGGAATCGCGCCAACTTACAACCGACGGGGGGGGGGGGCGGATGACCACCCCCCTGAGATCTCGAGAACGAAGCAAGATAGCGACAAGCGGTAAACGGCATGGGGTACGCACGGACAAGGTCTACAATTTTTACTGAAGTCATTTTCAGGTCAGGTCAAAGATGACGTCACAGGGGTCAAAAAAGTTTATGGCGGCGCTACATATGGATAGTTTTTCTCGAATAACTTTCGAACTAGGCAAGCTAGGAACAAACTAAGGGCACCATCGTGATCCTCTTGTCAATCGGCATCGAACCATATATATGTTGACCTCGAAAGGTCAAGGTCAAAGGTTGACCTCAGGTCACGTGACCTCGAGGTCATCATGTATATCATTCGATGCGCCTTGACGAGCTAAACACAATGAGACCATCCGCGCGGCTGTATCTCGTTTCTGTAAGGAGTCATTGGCAGAAAACCTTTGGTGACCTTTGATGACGTCACATGACCTACAGCTGCCCAACAGCAAAACAGGCCTCAAGGTAGGGAAGGTTGATCGTATATGAAGTCGTGTATGGTATATGGGGCCATTCCGACGCGTTCCAGAGAAAAAAAAACAGGGAGTTGATTTTTCCCCCATTGACTTATAATGGGTTGACTTAAAATAATATAATAACACTTCAGTCAAGGCGACGACGTGGAACCAGCTGGCAGCTACCGAGAAGTTATGCGTGCGCGCGCGGCGCAGTTCGACGTTCCACAGCCGCACGCCAAAACGCCTCATCCCTCACTAATAGCCCTCGACAGTACCTACATCTCGTCGTAATCAACACTTACGATCGTGACCTGCCTATTGGTTTCGAAGGACGGATCAGCCACACAGAAGTATGCCATTTTGCACTGCGCCTTCAGCATCAACAACTGGACCTGTGCCACATGTTTCTGCGCGTTGATCTTTCTAGAATCATTGCTGCCGATGTACCTACGCAGTGTTTTGTCAGACGAGGGACACTTCACCCCGACTATACTACCACTGGCAGTTACCTCGTCTGGCGAAGCACCGAACGCATGCGGATGTTCTCCTCTGCTAAGAATGCAATGCTATAGCTGGCGATCTTTTCGCCCAGATCTAGCCTTCGGCCACGCGTCATCGCTGCAGTGTCCTTCACCTTTGCAGCACCGAGGATATCTAACGCCAAAGAGCCATTGTTCTTTTGGCAGTGAGCCATCCCGTGCGCTTTGGACGCCGTAATGCGTCCAAATGGCACAGCGTGCCACAGAGGACACTTCCCCTGCCCCTTGGTCGCCCCACGGCTCACGCACTGCAGCACACAGAGCCGGAGTCATCCTACTTCTACAGTACCTAGTCTTGGAATCCATCACAGCTGTCAGCCCCCTCCGCACATCCAGCCAGTTGGGTGGGAAGAGGCAGTAAGGCAGTTCCTATACAATGCAAGGTTTAAACATGATAAAAACAGTTCAGCTCTCCCAGGAATGGATGAATATGTCGAAGTCACATAAAGACGATGCAAATTGCGAATTACCACAGAGATTACTGCGGCCCGATACGCGTCTTCAGTGCCGCCGTCCGGGAACGCTGTGCGCGCATACGAATCGTGACGTCACAGCCAGCATGGCCGTCGTTTTCGGTTGTCTGCTAATTGCGATTTTTATAAATGAAAATTAAATATGAAAACGTGTATGAAACTGAGTTTTTTTAATTCTTCGAATATGAAATCGCATATGAAGAATTCGTTTATGGTTTTCTTGAAAATATAACAATCTGTCTATTACCTTATCAAAAGAGGAGTCCAAAAGCTATCAATTGCTTTTCCATGTGTTTTTCTAGCTATCAGAGTTCCTGAGATAACTGCATGTTTTCTGAAAAATATAATGACAGTTGGCAAAATTTGACCTTTGATGACCTCCAGTGACCCCAATATTGCTCTAAGATAAAAAATGTCCGAAATACTTTCAAACGTACGCATTGAGAGCTATCGAATGTTTTTTTTTTACCGCGTCTTTCTAGCCCTCTTAGTTTTTGAGTTTGAGGTGGGTGGTAACATATGCCCCCCCCCCCTCCCCACTAGGGCGAAGTTGGCTGAGACCGGCACTGGGGCGCGGGTTAAAAAACAACTATACCTAGCTAGGTACAAGCTGTAGGTAATATGGGCCTGTAGGTACACCTAAAATTCCATTGCGGCGTACTCCGTAATGCTGAACTTGTTCTCGCCTTATAGGCTGATGTTTGTTATACTTTAGTAACGCTGAACTCATCTGACTAATGATGTGACGTTTTAGCTATATTTCACTCTGCATTTTACGAAGTGGATTCGAAGAAAATTGCCAAGTGAAGTAATGCGGTAGCCGTTGTCCTGTAGTAGGTAACATATCGAGGTGTAATGGGTATGCACCATTCTTTAGCCGTATGGCATGGCAACTTATCAGGAGAAGGTACTAGGTAATGCCGCATATATACCAATCCATCATATTGAACAGGTTATGTAAACATCTTTACTTTTTATTTATCAAATCTTAACACATACTTAGCTCCATTTTACAATACATTCGAGTTTCAAACCGTTTATCAGTTAAAGCATAATACCACATCACAACATTACACGAAACAGTATCGTGCGCAGCAACATCAGATCACCAGAAGTGCTTTCAGCACGTCACTTCGACATGGTCGAACGGCAGCACTTATCGGTGGTACGAGCATACAAACAAGGCTCATCACAACTGGAAATGTCCAGCATGGATTGAATACTCTTTTACAACCCTCGGGAGACATTCCCGACCCTGAAAGCAAAGGATGAACGTCTTGATGCTGGTCGGCGCTTACAGATTTCCCAGTTTGATAGTCTGGAACTCCTTCTCCAGCAACTCCTTGGCCTTCTCTTCCAGCTTGGGCTCGAACAGGTCGAGCAGGATCTGGTTGCTGGAGTTGAGGATCCTCTGCAGGAAGAGTCCCAGGCCCGACAGGCCGCTGATCTCCGTGGAGAATGATTCGATGTCGATACTGACGTTGACGTTGCTCAGGCTGACGGCGAGCTTGTCGTCGAGCTGCACAAGTTCCCAGTCGGCCATGACGTGGAAGCTGGGCCTGACCAGCGTCAGAACCAGCTGCGGGCTAGCCGAGATGAACCGGTAGCGCACCGACAGGTCTCCCGACGCCTGCAGCTCGGTGAAATTGAGCGTCAGCGCCAGCTTGTCGGGCAGCAGCGTGACGTCCTCCACGGCCAGCGAGCTGATGCCGGCCACCTGGACGTTCCTTCCCGAAACCTGCACCTTGCCGGGCCTCTTGTTCTTCGGCTCAATGTCCTTGAGCTCCAGGGGCTCGAGAATGACAGTCTTGTCGCCGACCTTGAGTCCAGTGGCGAAAGATGGTCTGGCCAGCTCAATGGTGCCCTGCAGAAGCTGCTCGAGACAGGGGCCGATGTCACTCTCCCCCGTGCCGCTGCCGCAAGCGGCAAACAGCAGCTCCAGGGGCACGCCTTCGGGCAGCGGCACCCCCTCCGGCAGCAGAGAGCGGCGCTGTCGGGCCGGGGAGGCGGACGACAGACCGCAGCAGGCCGCCGCCACGAGCAGGAAAATCATGGACCGCATTCTGAGACAGGAACAGTCTATCCAAACCACACTGCTACTGCTGACACTGACACGCGCTGACCGCCACTGAGCGTGGAGCGAGTTCCGAACGGGTGTCAGGACGGGGAGCTTCTGATGTCGACCGCTGACTCGCCGCCGTATTTACGAGTCACGCCGGGCCCGGAAAACCCCGTGTGATGCTGGGTGGTAGCCGGCGGTGGAGCGGACGTCGGTGGGCCGGCCGTGCACCTCATGCCCCTCCCCTTCCTCCCCAGCTGGTGCGACCGAGGTTCTGGGAACGGTGCAGCCATGCAGTTCCGCAGCCGCTGTTTATCGCCGGACCCGGGCCGGCCCGCGTCGTCCGGTAGTCCAGTGACGAAACCATTACCCCTCCCCATCGCTGCAGTCGGGTCGGCCGCCAGCCAACTGCGGAGATGTATATGACAGAACTTATGGCATCTGGAGCTAATATTTCTTAGGATTTTCCAGTATTGGGTGCCTATGATCGTTGAAATGATGGTTGTTTTATTAGTTTTACTGGCATAGGTACTCCATGCAATATGCATTAGTTTATCTTGAAAGTATTAAATGGGAATAGGTGATATCAAGTGCACGTGAACCAACGACTAAAAGCAGTTCGACCCTCTGGTTCATGAAGACGAACAATGTTCAAACTTGCTTTGCGAAACATTGAAACTGCCGCTCAATTCGTTATAATTTAAGCACAGCCATACTTTTACTTCACGCAACATGATATATTGCAGAACTAGTAGCACACGAACTCTCGTTTTTCAGTGTTCCAGGCCCTTCCAGCAATTCATTTCTGGAGCTATGATAACATGCACAATGCACAATCACATATCTATACTACAATTGAGGCTTGTGTGTCCCCTCGGTCGTCGAGCACGACCACCACCATGCTCAGGTTGCCGGTGGAGCCGTGCGACAGGCTCCTTGTGGTGCGGCTCGACCGCGTCGATCTCGACGACAGCGCGGCGGTCCGTTTGTTTCGGTTCAAGTAGAGGAAGACGCCGCTCAGCAGCAGGCAGCCAGAGGCGGTGATGCAGAACACAGCCAGGTTCAGGCCGGCCAGCGTCACCAGTACCACCCAGTTGTACATGTTGTACAGACACCCGGTGCCGTAGAACGTGCTCGTGTCGAAGGTTCGCGCGAGGGGCAGCCGGCTCGACAGAGGACAGTGTTGGGGATCGACGCAGCAGCTGCTGGGGATGGGGGCATCCTGGTAGTCGCGGTAGGACGCCTTGCCGCAGCACTCAAAGATGCGCTGACCGAGGTTCATGAAGTGCAGCAGATCCTCGGCTGACTTTCCGGGCGTGGAGGAGTTTCCGTTGTGCGCTGTTCCGTTCTGGGTCGCGTGTGTCACGTACTCCACGATCTCGTTGCTCATGACCTCAGAGGTGGCCACAGAAGAATCGTGCTCGGCGAAGGGGTTCTTCATCTGGCGCAGGCTGACGGTAGCGACCAGCAGCAGCACAAACGTGGCCAGCAGCGAGAGGTCGGCGCCGAACACAACGCGTCGCATCACGCGCCTCGTGCCGAACGCGCCGAACACGCCCGTGACACATCCGAGCACGGCCACCACTAGCGTCTCGATGTTGACGCGCTTGTAGAAGAAAAAGCTTTCGTGCCGAAACTCCCCGAAATACGCGAGGCTGGCGCTGGCGATGCCCAGGTAGAAAAGCGATGTGGCGACAAGAAGAGCCCAGAAGATGATGAGACTGCGCCGAACGCAGTGTTCACACATTTCGCGACTGAATGACATGACTGTCAGTTGTCTTTTCACAGTGCACAGTAGAAGAACAATCAAAGATTAAGTATGACGAGAAAGATAGCAGGATCCGACAGTCGTTAGTGACTTTTTCCGCTTTTTAAATGTAATTATCATGTTCAAATTCATATTCTGTAACTAGATCATAGTTTCAGGAACATGCTCTGTAGCTATGGAATGTTTTTAACTTTCGTTACCAAATCCGTCGTATTCTATGACCGTGAATCCGTCTACGCAAAACTAAAGCAAAACGCAAAACTCACCGTCTGTTTAAATTGAATAGTGTAAACGTGCAATTACTTCGTTCCTTACTTCGACTTTGACAAATCACGGTTAATATTGATAATTAATGCTGCAGGGCCCCTAGCATTCACAGGGGTAAAATGAAACTGGTTGTTCATTAAACGTTTTAATTTGAATTTTATTAATCTTTCTACCTCATTTCCACGGGTCGCAAATAATTCGAATAATGCTTTAAAAACTTTTTCTTGGGAAAAACAATACAATTTTGTCGGTTTAGACGGTGTTGAAAGGCAAATACCCTAAAATGACAAATAGCCCCTCTCCTTGGGTAGGTACCTAATATATTTTCCTTTAAGGCTGCTCCAACCGTGCCACTCAGCTTTGCATCGCTACCTGACCTCTTACCGTGCCAATGGAACAGTGACTCAGGCTGGATCGTTAGGGACTTTCCCTTGCATTATTTTATATCCCTTGCTTTTGTCAACTATTTATAATATCAGCCATGTTAATCCTATTATATGTTGTCATACGCGTTCTATGTATAGGAGTCAGGGCATATTTTAAGGCACTTACTGCGTCCCATTTTGGGACGCAGCCCCCTCGCCTTGGGACGTAGCCCCTGCTGATTTGACCCACTGCGTCCCTACTCTGTGCCCTGCTGTGTGCCCTGACCTGTACCCTTCCCTCTAAAATGTCCTCTGCCATGCCCTGAAACTTGCCGTGCCCTACTTTCTGCCCTCCTCAGTGCCCTACTCTCTTCCTTGCCCTGTGCATTTAGTCGGAGCACGTGCCCTCTGCTCAACGTGGGACGCAGTAAAAATTTGTTAAAATATGCCCTGATAGGAGTTCTATTCTATAGGAGTTATATAGCCTTGATCATACGATCCCCAGAGGTCGTACCAGGTGGAACAGGCGGACAGCAGCTGAATTGCATGGTCTCACTCCCGTGACCTCGTCTAAAAGAACGAACGATCCACAGATGACGGACAGGATGCGCGATGCCTTGGAGACCGAACTGCCCGAGCTGCAACTGCATGCCCATGGCACATGAGCTGGTGCACGTGGATACCAAGACCGTGCCCACGTGTAGTCCATCTGAATTCTGGACCCCGATGTCCTTTTTTATTCATGAGGTCTCGTTCAAAATATCGTCCCTCATTCGATAAACGTGGAATCCCATGGACGTTATCTCTAGCGTAGTGTCATGTCGTGTTTTGATCGGTTGATGACCAGCTGCCAGAGCTCCGACTATAAAAGCCCATCTACAAGCGTGCTGGTGAGCATGTGAGCTGGTGATGATGGTTAGCATGCTGGCACTCTATTTATTTATTGCGGCCTTCTTTGTGGCATCCAATAAAACATTGGCTGTTAGAGAGATTTGAGGCGCTCAGGTCCGTTGCCACAGTGCACGGCGTAATGCACAAGCGCCGAGTCACGGTAATCGATTAGTGCGCAAAAGAACATCTGACCCCAGCTCCTTCCGTGCTGCCGTGATGTGCTCGTGACGACGTTATGACTGACGGGATGACTGACGCCTGTTTGCCTAATTTAGGGGGCATCACCAGACAGGTCATAAGCCGCCGGCACCGCGCCACCTGGGCAGTGGGCGGCTTGGTTTAGCGTCACCTATAGGTAGATACTCAACATAGCCGGGAACGAGGGGGGGGGGTGGATCCGACCCCACCCCCTGTTATCCCGAGAACCAATGGTCGTATCGAGCACCGAGAACTCCCCAAAAACTTGGAGAGTTCGAGGCACTTGAAAACTCTCCAATAGCTTTCCAAAGCACTCTAAAGAATAAAAATTTCATTTTCAAGATCACGACGGCAGTGCCCGCCGTCGCATGGTCGCCAGCTAAGCCCCGGGTGCCTTTTTGACCGCGGGAGCCGCGGCGGCCGCAGACATAGGCCAATGATAGGCATGACAGCTGTCAATATTATGGGTCAACAAGGGTTAAATTCTGGGGTACCTATCTGCATCACGAGGTTTATGAGCGGTGGAATCAGTAGCTTTTGCCCGACAATCAGGCAAAGTAGCCTCAAAGGCTTTGCGAAGATCTATTAGTACTTATCAAATTGGTATGGTATAGGACCACCGTTACTCGTTAGATAGGTATACCTAGTTGATCGTAAGAACATTAACCCGGTTTACATAGCATATTTGACGAGGCTCTAGCTCGTTAATTTGGCGATAATTTCGATGCAATGGTCTTCAAATATTTAGAGGGGAGCATTTTGTAAATTGTTAAGCACCATTAGCATCTTTTGCAACATCACGGACGGAGATATACCTAAGCTTGCAACAAACCCTATGTAAACGCGTCTATTGATATCAGGGGAAAAAATCTAGCAGGAATTTCTCTACATGTGGCAGCCCCGGTAATGTAAGACGAAACAAACGCTGTTGTGTAGAACGTGACGCGTTCATCTTTTGTGCGGCATTGTAAATAATAGGTAGTCTTCTCGTTTTGGATTTGGACGTGTAGGGTGCTTGGCGTGAATTTTCCGATTTATTTCTAGTATTTTGTGTGTGTATGGCTTTTGAATTCCTCGACTTTTCGCTGCTCGGAGCTTTGAACTAATGGCTTATGTTTGCTGCAGTCCTCTGTGTCTATCTTGTGGCCGTTCAGGGCAGGTGGCCTGAGGGATTAAATCTGGAGATCGCAACACTAATTGGGCCACTTTTTGATATTTTTTTCGAATTCTTGTAGCTTGTGCATTATTTGGCCCTATAGGCAATTACTTTTTAATTTCATATATTTATTTTTGGTTATGTAATTCAGTGACGTGCTGCTTTGCGACTCGAGGGCACCTCAGTAGGCGGAACTATGGTCAAGCGTACCCATTTTCGGGAACGCATTTTCGTTCCCATGTTTGGGAACGATAAACCCAAATATGGGAACGCCATGTAGGAATTATTTAAAACAAGAAAAAGAACCGTTAAATGACGTCCAAAAAATATAAAACGATCGTGAACCGCCTGATATTTGTCTCAATATTGTTGGGAAAGAGTTTGATATTGTAAGGCCCATCGTAGTTTCAAATCGTTCCCCTATTTCTAAAGCAGTCCATCATCCGGGCCGCGAACCCAAATTTGGGAACGCTCTCGTACACTGGCGCTGCAAGCGTTCCTTATTATGGGAACGGCGTACCCAAAATTGGGAACGATTTCACCGACGCCTTTCAGGGGCTCTTTTCATTAACAAGCATCATGTCCAACGCCGCAAATTATTGTTAAGCAACAATCATCAGATGACCTTTCCGGCAAGACCGTCGCATGTTTCGCCCGGTCTTCTGCGCTTTTATTCCCGTCGATCTCGCAGCGGGCACGCCCCCCTCTGCAGGATTACGTAATTCACAACGCTCAGCGATGTTCAACAAGGTCTTCCATACCTATATCCACCGTCCGCGCCGAGGGTGGAGACATGTCAAGCACCTGTCTGTTTATCACCGATAGTTGACGAGCACAAGGAAGTATCCAAAAATGGGAACGCTGAATATGTTACACCCTCAAAACACCTAGTCCCATGGAAAATCTAGTTTTTTCCTTTCTTAATGAGTGTAAGTGGCAAAAGGCCTGGTAGGATGGGCACGAGAAATGATCGAAATCAGCATAAAAATTATAAATAAGCCACACAGAGCGACCTATATAAGAGAAATTCCCCCAAAACGATCATGCTTAGAAACACGGAAGACAAAAACCACGCTCATGACGCTCCTTATAAAACAATGCTAAACAGCTAGCATCCAAATAAAATATGTCTTTCCGGGCTGATAAAATACAGCTGAATAATTTTAAACCACTGAAACTGAGTTTACAACAGTAGTTCGGTAAAATCACTGACGTTCCACGCGGTCGTGCGCCCCGAGACCAAAAGTCAACAATATTACCTCGGGACTGTCCGCGTGTTCGCTTGCATATGTCAGCATCTGGTGTCGCTAGTATGAAACTTCATAACCAGGCGAAAATTATTATACTTGACCTCAAAATGTAAAAAACGCTTCATTTTCCTTTAAATTGCATGTTAAATGTAGTATAACCCATGTTTTCACCATTCCGTCATTTCAAAAAAATCATTAAAAATATCATTCGACGGTCAATTTCCTTGTTCAACGGTCAGATTAAAGATAATTTTATAGAGATTCAGTAGATACTTAAATTAGCGTGCACTTTTTTGAGACGTGATGCACTAATGAGTTTTAGTGGGCGAATGGCCGAAAAATTACCTTCCGTTCCCGTAAATGGGAACGCCCGTTCCCATATTTGGGAACTCCGTTCCCAAAAATGGGAACGTTCCTATATTTGGGTACTCATGACCATAGTTCCACCTACTGACCTCTTCTGCCTCTCCCGAACCGTCACTGTCTTTCTAGTGTTTAAATGGTATATGTTAGTTACCAATAGCAATAAGTGTCTTGTTTACATAGGACTATGAAGCATAGAAAGGGACAAAATTTATATTGTAAAGAGGATTTGACTTTGAATTCAGGGAAAACTGCCATTGGATTGTGTTAACTACCAGATTCATTTTAGTTTGACCAGCTTTCATTTTTAGGCTGTAACACAGCTTTCATAAACACACAATAAAATTGTGTCTTGCTTCTTCCATTGAAATATGTTGCAGGTTGATTGCTCTGAGTGTTGGGATAAAAACACGCCATGCATTCAAATAGGACACTGAAGATGGAGAATCAATACAGTTTTCACTTTGCATGCATACAAGCTGTGTTCTAGTCTTGTAGGCTTTTGATCCAATAAATACCACCAAAACAAAACAAGTGATATTCCCACCTTTCAAGCAACATGAAATGTGATGGGTCATCAGATTGAATTAGGGGTTACATAAGTTCTTTCTTCAGGCATGCAATGTCTTGACTCTTGAGTCACCCTTGCTAGCTGCACATCTGCTGTTGCAATATTCTAGAGTGACAATTTTTATGCAACCATGCAACATGTTGGTTGTCTTTGGCTAAAGCACCTGCCACTTTGGGTTGCAGATATTAGAGTTGCCTCATATGACATTCCTGATTCCAGCCAAATAAGAAAATAGAAATTAATTGTCCAAGAACATAGGTACCCAGCAAAACCTATCCTAAACTGACACCTACTGAACACATTGATAACACCCGCAACACACCCATCTATCATCTAGCATATACATGTGAGCTGTGGCAGAAGGTGACAGGTTCATAGTAAAAGAATGCCTGAATTATCATTACCAAGTAACAGGCAACAAGTTTTAACTGTACCCACTCAAGGTTCAAATTTGAGCAGAACAGAATGTTGTTCAAAACTTCTGTTTCTTCCACCCATTGTTTTGATTTAATAGCTTTAGCTTTACATTTTCCTTCATTCAAGAATACCTATAGCAAAGTCTTTTTGCTTTGCTTATCTTGTTTTTGTGTGGTTTATTTAGTGCATTTATAGGTAGGTAGTTAATTTACAAGCTGTCTGGAAGTGTTTTCTATCCACCTGTACTGCCCACACCAGACATTGTTCTGTTAGGCACACAATTTTCACACTTGGCTTATAAAGTTAATGGAAGTGCTAGACTCAACTTTCCTCTCAATTGCATCAATTGATTAGGTATTTATTTTTTTTTTTAACATATGTAGTGCTCTTATTATCATTGCAATTATTGCTATGCGAGACAGTTTACAGTTCACGATAAAAAAGACCGTTCTGGTTTTTAACAACACCTTACACCCAATATCACAAATCACGATAGGCCGCTGGCTAGAGTTGTCCGTGCAGAATGTGCGCCGGCCGGTGTGACTACACAGGGCCCGAGCGGGTGACGATCGCAGGCTCCTCTCCCGTGACTGGATGACTAGACGTGGGTCGAGCCGGAGCGGTGTTTCGAGCCGGCCAGCTCAAAGAACAGCACGTATGCCTTTCCGCTGTTGACGTTTCTCTGATCCATCACGTGGACCCGCGAGTCGTTGTACTCGTACCACTCTGCCGTGTACGGGTGTCGGCAGTAAGCGGTGTAATGTCCTGAGAGCAGCTAGTCTTGCTATTTATTGTGTTCATTTCATAAGCACCATGTTTTGTATTTGGAATTTCTGAAAATTTGGGTTTACTCTTGTTGTTATCAATACCTAAGACCAAGAATGACATTTTTTGCTTGTGACATTTTGGTATCTAGGCCTAGAAAATTAAGTATTTGCACATTCACTTGCTGCTGGGGAATGTGAACTTCTTATATGAGGGCTTGGCTCCTCTCCTGGTCAGCTTTAAGCTTTTCTCCAGCTTTGGTCATGCTTCTGGCCTGGCTCTAATATTGAATCCTCACATATGACATAATTTACCATAAACGTTTACCCTGTCTGATATATAAAGGGTTATTTTTTCAATTCTAGTCAGATATTTTGGTTGTGCTTTGCCTGAAAATCTATATTAAAAAAAATGTACTGATAGATAAGGACGTTTCTATTCCTGAATCCTGATCATAATTAAGGCTAAGTAATGACTCATTAGCTATTCAATAGAACCTTGATGGGTATCATAAAAAATGTACAAATATTTGGAAAATCATAATAAAAGATGCATAGGCATTCAGTAGATAGCCAAGAGATATCTTCATTCTTCACTACAGGTGTAAATTTATATTATTATCCACCTACTTTCTTTATCCAATGTCTATTCTTGTTTGTTTCATTATAAAAAGCTGTAATACTCTGTAGGTATCCTTGTATTTCTCTGTTGGTAAAAGAAAAATTTGAAATATACATGTGTATACTTCATTACAGGCATATACACCAGCGGAGAAGACAACACAACAACACTCATGTGTGGACTGGTGTGATGGCCCTGCCCAACACACCCAAGAAGATGGAAGGCGGCGACTCACCCAGGAGGCACGGACACAGTTCCAAGGAGGGGAACGGTTTGGCCAAGAGCGGCACCTCTCCGTCGGGTACCAGTGAGAGCGACGACGGCGGCTGGTGGGGCCGTGTGCAGCACAAGCACCGCCCCATCGTCAGCCCGCCGCTGGTCTATAACGACCCGAGCCGCCGCGCCGACCAGCACACCGACCAGCGCCCCTCTGCAGACACTAAGGACACGCCCGGCTCATCAACACGCCGGAAACGCAAACTCCCTTCTCACAGACGGCGCGTGACGTTCGGAACGACGCGGAAACGGGCCGCTGTTGAGGATGGGTCGCCGTCTGACTCCGCTGGAGCCTGCTCGGCCGCCAACAGCAACGGCGAGAGAAAGGCCGAGGAGGAAGAGCAGCAGCCGCAGGGCGACTGGGGCTCGCGCGTGCCACTGGAGGTGCTGCAGGTGATCTTTGCCGAGGCGACGCGCACAGTGGGTGCCGTGCCCACCCTGGTGCGGCTGTCGTTTGTGTGTCGACTGTGGCGCGACGCGGCGTTCTCGCCGCACCTGTGGCGCAGTGTCGACCTCGGGGATCACACCAAAGAGAGCCGGCGCACCGAGAAGAAGCTCATGTGGCTGCTGGAGAACAGACTCACGCACGCACGAGACCTCAGTCTGGGTGAGTCCCGCTTTACCGACGGCCTTGGCTGGGCTGGATAATGGCTGGAATGATGCCATATCATTGTCGTGATGTTTTGTGATGACGTCAATTGCTTTTTATGAGCTGGAGTTGTGTTATGAGTAGCGTGATAATGCTGCCAAATAGGCACTGTTATGTGCAAAAAAGCTCTGATGTTTGCAAGTTCTCAGGTAATAGTCAATGTTGTCTTGTCGTTCGTGCAGGCCGTTCATGCTAGTGTCTCAAAACGCTCCGCTTTGCTGCTGTAAGGAATTCGGTTATTCAGAGCATTTGCTAACTCATGCCATAATCCACCGAGGACCAGAATCAGCTTTTACTTCTCCATCAACTTGTTCAGCATAACATCAGCTTCTTATTTCAGTGTGCCCTCCACCCTTATTTTGGTGTATGCTGACTGATCCTCTGCCTCCCCCGCAGCCGGCTGGCACCGTGTCATGAAGCCTGCCTGCCTGTCGGCCGTGTGCGCCGGCTGCCCGGAGCTGCGCAGTCTGAGCGTGGCTCGCTGTCGGCACGTGACTGCCAGTCTGCTGCTGCTGGTGGCGCGACAGGCGCCGCGGCTGCGCGCGCTAGACCTCTCGGCTGTCGAACCGCGCGGCACTGTCAGCGCTCCCACACTGCGCCAACTGGCCGATGTGATGGGCTCCCGACTAACGGAGCTGACGCTGGCGCACAATCTGCTTACCGGCCTGCCGCAGATGGTCGCGGTGCTGGCGGTGAGTAGGGGCAAGCGTGGGGCGCAGTAACAGGATGTTAGGTGGGTGAGCGCGATTATTGAATGCTGATTGAAGTGGGTGAGATCAGTTTAGATAGATGGACATTTTAGTTTATCGAATTCGAGACATCGACAAACTTTCACCTAACGCGTTCTTATAGTAATTAATTGCATTATAATCGTTACCCACTGGCCACTGCTGAATGCACCCGGTCCCCGTTCCTCGGCAGGAGAGCTGCCCTCGACTGGAGGTGTTGGACCTCTCCAATATGGTGGTCAGCAGCAGTGCCGCCGCCTCGCTGCCCGTCGAGAAGCTGATGTTGGGCTGCCGGCGCCTGCGTGTGCTCTGCTGGACCAACACGGCGATACGACTGGGGCCCGAGCCAGAGGATGAGGTCAGTGGGGCCGCGACACTCCCCTGGGGGAGCGGGCGTCGTTAGACATTCAGTGGGAGTCAGTGCTGTAGGTGGAAATACCAGGACAAAATATATGGGAGGGAATACCAAGGGTGTGTTGGTTGCGCTAGGTGCATAGTCGGTGGTACTTCAACATCGATGTGGGGCGCTATGTGGTTGGGGCACGAATAGCATTGAGGCAGGCATGACTTGCATCGCTGAAAACAATTATCATATTTGATTGTGATTCGGAGCTCTTTTGATGGCTGTTACTTGATAGCCTGGCTTAGCGGTATATTTATATTGAAAATAGCTCAATCATGTGGTATCTATAAATGGCTGTTCTGCTATTTGTTAGGTGGTATTATGAGAGTCTGAGCATGTCAGGTGACTGTCCTTGTGTGTGATGCATAAATAGCAGGGATTAGCTCGGACGAGGCCCGGCATACTTTGATGTAGGTATTTCCCAGAACCAGTAACTGGCCACTCGTTAATGAATGCAGGACATCGTGGATTGCCCGTCCATGATACCTGGAAAACGGGTTTGACTAGCGCCATGCAGCGATTGCTCGTAAACATGCATACTTTAGCGTGTTGAATGGTTTTTAGCGTGTAAAGAGAAAGGGAAATACCAGACCTTGGCTTTCGTAACTTGGTGGTTACTTCTCATTAATGTTCTTTGTTTAGCGGAGATGTCAAATAGGACATGAGAAGGATGGATGACAAGACGTGACTATCCTAACGATCTTATACCCGTAACCGGGTCATCGTATATCAAATGCACGAATGCCTTCGTTTTAAGCATTCTGAACGTGTCTCAGTTGATATCGATACGCATCAATGTTGAATGTGTATCTACATACTACCTTGATCGCTCTTCTGGCTTATCGTAGAACGTTAACCAGATTGGTCTGTCCTTAAACCGTCACTCCCATTAGTTGTCTGAATTGTCAGAATAATACCCTGCAAGGAGACCTTGGCACCCGTTATCGCGCTCTGAAATCCCGAGACGAGTAGTATCGCCGAGCGCCATCTGCCGCCGGCTTATAACACCACCGCCTTCTCTCTGCGCCACCAGGAGCCGGCGCCCGGTTTCCCCGCTCTGGAGGAGCTCAGCGTGGCGGTGCTGAAGGACACGGGCAGCGGCGGGGTGGATAACGCCGACCTCTGGCGACTGCTCTGCAGCTCCGCCCGGCTCCGACTGCTGGACGTGCGCGGCTGCACGGCGGTGACGGCCGACGGCCTGCTCCGGCTGCCGGCCGACAACCTGCAGCACCTGTTTCTGTCGCGCTCGGGCGCCACGGCCGGCTCCCAGACGTTGTACGCGCTGCTGGAGCGCTGGCGGCACAGTCTGCTGGAGCTGGACCTGGCCGGTGGCGGACACCAGCCGACTGTGGACGCGGCACTGCGCGAGCTGGCCGCGCCCTGCTCGGAGCGCTGGCCGCCGCCGCCGCTGCGCCGACTCGACCTGTGCGGCGCGGCCGGCTCCTTACCTGCCGTCCAGCTGGTGGTGGCCGCCTGTCCGCAGCTGCGCGAGCTCAACTTGACCTCGTGTCGCGCCCTGCCGCGCGGCCTGAAGCGGCTCTACCGCGGCGATGAGGTGGCCACCCTGCGGGATGGCGAGCCCAGACGCCGCGGCGGCCCCTACCGGTAGGAGCGCCGGGCGCGGAGAGCCCCGCCCCATAGCTGATTTTGCAGTGCGTGGTGATCGTCCTGAAGGACGTGTGAGGGTGTGACAAAATGTCGCGCGCCGTAGCCCAGCTGCCGTTGCAATACCCTGCCTCAGTTCGAGCGGTGCGTCACTCAGCGCGCGCTCGAGTTACCTCTGATAGATGTGATAACCCGTGGCGTCGTGGTAACTGTGCCGGACGCGTCCTTTTCCGCGAGGTAAAACAGACGCCCACAGGTAAACTGGCGACTCGGCGTGCAAAAGTGACGCCTGGCGAGCACCGTGCGTCGCACGGCGGGCGTGGGGCTAACTCGCAGCGAAATATTTTTACATCGACGATGTCGTAGGCTGCTCAGGTTAGGTTTATGATCTCTAGGAGGCAATTAATCCTGCGTGTTGTGATAACTGTCATTCCTGTGTTAGAAATGGCATTATGATAGGATATTTTTTTCATTTCTACCCCCTCTCTATTCTTTGTCAAACGAGTTTTGAATCTTCCTTATCTGCTCAGTGGTCCGAAGTCATTTCTAGACATTTATTTTGGTCACTATTCTTTTGTTCTGAGTTTGGTGCTATTAGTGAAGTGTTGAAGTGTACAAATGACTCAATAAAGAGTGTCAGTGAAAATACGATGGATCGATTGATGGAGAGTGCGACGACCCACGGGCGTACTTTCCATTACATGAGTTGCAAGCTTCAGATGAATCTCTTCGCCCAGACCTCACAGTGCTTCATCGCAAGTCACGGACGACTTTCGTCTCCCGATAATTTATTCAACTTTCTATGCCCGGGATTCATCTCTGGACACCTCATTTTCAGTGCTTATCTTTCTACGCCAGAGACGTATATTCCACTCGACATACTCTAACTCTACAACCTCTATGCCTCACCGCAGCCCTCAAGTCACACATCTGTTGGTGTTGCCGACAGAAGGCCCCGTGCCCCACCCACCCGCTTCATTACACCCCACCTGGCCCCACGGCGTTCCGGGGGGGGGGGGGGGTGTTGATGGCCTCGCCCGCCTGGCTCTCCATGGCTCTTGAGATGATAAATCACCGATAGTGACGTCACAAATGATCGTGCAACGCCTGATTGCCTTTGCGAGCGGCTCCCGTGGCCTCGCCAAACTGTCGGCGAGAGAACGGGAACGGAGAGAAAACGAAGAATTTGTCAAGGGTTAAGACATTACCTTACAGTAGTAGGACAGTGTTTACACCAACTACTACGCCACTTAATTCGTCAAGATGTTGCAGAGTTTCACTGATTATCAGTCTGATAATAGGATGTTTAGTGAGCATTTTCCATCTCATGATGTGTGGTTCACATCCATGACCGTGTTTCTCAAATGCGGCTGACACATTCATCAGATGCCTAGAACGAACGAGTGATGGCCAGAAAGCGTGAATGAAATATGATGAACCTTTTCAACATTTCAATGACTTGTTCCGTCCTTGTCATTCCTCATTATGTTCACGCAAGCCGTTCTGAACCAAGGGCAACCATGACGAGAATTTCGCATCCGGCTTCCTTCAATAATGGCGGCTAGTTTCAAAATGAATGGCCTAAAATAATGGACCAAGGAATTATTTTCCACAAGTTCCCATAATATAAAATGTGATGGAACGTTTTCTTGGTTGTCGAACGACCGTGTTAGGCTGAATAATCTGATTCTGGAGAAGCCAGGCTGTAGCTTTTAATCGCAACAACAGACGATTAGAAACAAGCCCGGATGAAAGTCAATAAGCCTGATGTCGAGAGAGAAGGGGCAGGCATGCAGACAGAGTAAAGGGCTGGGGAGGAGAGAGAGAGAGAGAGAGAGAGAGAGAGAGAGAGAGAGAGAGAGAGAGAGAGAGAGAGAGAGAGAGAGAGAGAGAGAGAGAGAGAGAGAGAGAGAGAGAGAGAAAGAGAGAGAAAGAGAGAGAGATAGAGAGAGAGAGAAAGAGAGAGAGAGAGAGAGAGAGAGAGAGAGAGAGAGAGAGAAAGAAAGAAAGAAAGAAAGAGGCAGAGGCAGAGACAGAACAGCAGACCACCTGTCGGATGAGTGCAGTGACCGTTATCCACCCTTGCACCGTGGACCGTGACGATCGTGACCGCCTGTGATACGCTCCTTCCCTCGAGAAGCGCCGAGATACCTACACCGACGGATCTACAGAGCCCTGAAGGCACTGCTGATGCCAGTCACGCTTCATTCATCTCACCTCAGTGCTCAGAGTGCGGCTGGTAACCCTTTGATGTTGGTTGTGTTATAATGTAACCAGTGTTTCGCCAGCATTTTCGGAAGCCTTCCAGGCGCTAGTAATGACGTTTGGTGCTGATGACATGTGCTCAGCTGCACTAGTCAGCAGTCTGACGTAGGCAGCGGTCGCCCGGTTAGGTGATCAGCTGTGAAGGTGTGACTGGCCCGTCAGGTGGTCGGTCGTGTCGGCCCCTCGCCGTCTGGCGGCCCCCGGCCGGCCATCTGTGACTGGGGTCAATGGCTGGGCCGCCCGGGGCCGGCGGGCCGCCCGCTCACAACTCAACAGAGCCCAATGGCGGTGGGCCAGCCCGACTCTAATAGACACCTCACCGGCCGCTGCACAATGGGCTAAGTGCATAATGACACCTAATTTGGAATTGAGTGATCAACACGGTAGCACAATGGGGAACTTCCCTGGTGTCATAATGTCTCATTTGTCTTTTATGCTAGACTCTTACCCACACATTGTTACGAGGAACTTGCCCGGTAGAACAACGAAGGAAGACTGATTTAGCAGAAGGCAGTCACAACTCACATAAACAGCAATAGGCAGACGTCGAGCAAGGAATTTGCTGTGTCTGAAGCTACCCACCAGCTTATTATTACGTAGCCACCGAGTATTGCCCCCGGATCCGCGTTTACCGTTCATCATTCCCGAGTCCCGACTCAGCCTTCCGCTCCGTGCTGTCCGGTGCAGCATAAATTCAGGCGCATACTACTGCTGCCATCTAGGGACGAAAGGCGGGACTGTTGAATTGCAATTGCTCATTTCAAAATGTAGTTAGGTAGACGGGCCCGCGAGGGAGAAGTGCAGCAAGATACGCAGCAGAAATGGATTTTAAGTAAATTAAATTGAAATAATAATGAAATATAGTTGATAGCATAAATATGAATGTTGACGCCCTTGACATTTTTTCTGGCAGGAAGGTAAAACTAATTATCACTTTCACCGAACACGAGCTGCTTGATTTTGGTAGCCCAAACCATTCGCTATCGCCTCGTTTTTATTGCAGCATTCAAGTCCTCGCTTAACCAACTCTGAGTTGTGCCAATTTTATAAGCATATCTTTCGCATCAAAAGCTTTCTGTAGACCATTTCGCCTAATACACCGACCGTTTACTTTACGACTTACGTCGTACTATGCATTACCCAGACTTTGAAATCAATCGAAGGCACCGAAAGTTGCTTGATCGAAAGCATGTGTGTGAATAAAATGTAAGGCTGGTCACTGTTCACTGACCGTTTCACGGTAATACGGAACGGTCAAAACAAGTGTTGGTCGAGTGTCTGCAATACGTGTTCAGTGTTCACTGTTCACTGAAGCGTAAAACGAGGTCCCCGTTTGCGCCACTAGTCCTGTTTTTTGCTGTGTGCTAGGTATACCTTTCGGTCGAGTGGGACCGGCTCTTCTTTGGATGGCCACTTACGATATATTATTTATGGTGCAACCCAAAGTTCAGATAAGCCTTAGATAACCGGTTATTGCACATTACACATCACATATGTTTCACATTATTACAGAAATAAGGTAACGCTTGACGCTGCGTTACACAGGTCCTATAGCTTCAGAAACCTGTAAATATTTTCATATTTGAACCGTTACCGAGTCTATAGCAAAACCAAATCCTTGCCTTACGTCATAATTCACAGTCATAGAAAAGCTCATCTAAGCCCCATATTTACAAAGTCGATTCATAAGGCGACTGTATGCTGGCTGCTTCTGTCTGCGCCCGGCTGACCTTTTGACCCGAGCCTAGTCACGTGATCGCCACAGCTGGTTGCCGAGGACAGTGACCGGTGTGGCAGCGAGCGAGTTTTAATTTTGGCACAGCGCCAGACTCTGAAGCCGGTGGTAAGGATGGTGCATTGAGGAGCCGGGACAAATTTGGCGTTGTTCGCTTGGGTGTTTATGTGGTTAGGGGCTTGAGCATAGCTGTTGTTAGTTGTAACTTATATTTTGACTTTTGAGGTGGGCCAATTTTATATGACATTGCGTTTTTATAATGTGGCTGCTATGAAAATAAAATGTGACTGAGTGATGATTCGAAACAATTGTCTACGCTGTATTTGTATTAACTTCGTAAGATATAGTCTTGACATCAACATGGGCGCAGGTACTAGGTATTAGGTTAAACCGTACTTTTACCGGAACATTTATAATTAGACGGATAACATCTCAGCATCCGGGACTGGGTAGGTGCAATTTCGGAATTAAGGCTCGGAGAGCAGACGAGCGAATTACAGCACTTAGCCCAATTGTCCCCAGAATGAAGCGTGTCTGAGCCCTGTACTGCCCCGTCTACCCAGGTGACCCTGAGTAGTGTCAGCTGTCGGATAACCTTGACAGCCGAGCTTTACTTTGACAGACTGTCGCGGGTCGATGCGGACTGGGAAACGCCAGGGCTGAGTCCGGGTCTGCGGGAAACGTAAGGGCTGAGGCTGGCTGGCGGATGCGTTCACGTTGAAAGACAATCGATACAATCGTGGTCATAATGTCATGCGGGCATGGCCTTGAAGTTTGATGAAGGCTTTTTATTAGAGTTGCGACTTATTTGAATTGGAATTAGAATTCATCATTATTAGTTTACGTGGTAGTTAAATGTTATCGCCGAAACGAACGTAACCGGGTTCCCAGAAAACCATGCGTAATTCTGACCTCGCCAGCCTTCTTCTCGGCGAGAATTCAGAAGTCCCAGTCATTACAAATTTCAGTAGCTCCGCGTTCCGTCATCAGTCGTGACCCCTGCTCTGCCCGTCGCGACCCCCGCGCCCCCAGCACCGAGTGACCTCGCTACTGCGCCTGTGATGAGGTGCCCCTGCCGCCTGTCATTACCCCTCCTCAGAACGCCCTCGCTCGCGCCGCGCCCTGCAGTTTTGACCTCACCGCTCCGACCCGGCGACCCGGTGAGACTCAGCCGGAGCCGTCGTGGCGTCGACGGCGGCGAGCTACACTTGTGCGGTGTCGAAACTGGCCGACCTTCCCACCACGGCAGCGCATGTGGTCGGTCGGTGCTGCGCGGTTCGCCTTCCTGGGCGGCTCAGTATCGCCGCAGATTGGTCAGAGCGAGTGTCCGTTCTCCTGGCAGCAGAACGGGACCAGTCACCCGGGACGGTGATCACCTGACCAGCCACGTGACACGTCGGACTGGACGGGTGCCGGCGTCGGACAGATCACGTGACCGGGTGCTAGGCGCCTGCGACGCGTCGCGGTCTCCAGGCCGGCGCGGCGGCCGTGCGCGAGTTGTGCGCGACGAGGCGAGGCGTGCGGTTTGCGAAGGCGGTGAGGTCCGAGTGAGGTAGCTGCTCATCTCCGTGAATGGATCCGAGTGTATCGATCAGCGGTATGAAGTGCACGTAGCGAATGTGTCCAGATCTACCAAGTTCGCCGGCTGCAATTTGTGGCGGAGTGGCCATAGCTCGGCTATCGTGGGTAGTGAGGTAAGTAGCGTGAGAAATGTTGTTCGTGAAAGATAGGCGGGTCAAGGGTGCAGTTTGCAGCTGTTGTTCTGTGGGTTGGGACTTTTGGCGGTGTGGAGACGGCGAACAGCTGTTGGGGAAAGGTGGTGACCAAAACGGGACCCCGGCACGGCAGTCTCCAGCAAAAACATGCCAGTGATCCGAGCTCTTTGAGGTATTCTTAATTGCTTTCAACTTGATTCTAACAAATCCTGTTAATGTTACGGTTTGATTGCATCTTTCCTTTCACATTTAATTCAGCGCAACGAACGGAGCTCAAGACGAAACTCTTTGCATTTTTTAATGTTTAACAATTGCTTCCATTTCCCTGAATTTTCTCGTTACCAGAACTGCATACATATCTGTCCACCGCTGCTACGGGCCACTGAAAACATCGAGTGCCGGAGGGGGGATATCTAAGCGTCTTTCTTGCTGCTCTTACTCGGCTCCAGTGTCAAGTAGCAACAAGTAGACACTGGCGGATTCAGGAGGGGGGGGAGGGGATTGGAAGCCATTTGCCCCTCACGCAGTGTCCAGATTTGACGGAACCTTTCCTTTCACCTGCATAAGCTGAGCTAAATAATTTTCGTTAAAAAAAGCTTGAAAATGCACGGCAGCGCATAAGCAAATAAAATATGTTTTTTTTTTTTACAAATTGGTGAAACTCGTTTAGGAGATAGCAACCCCATCAGCACACAATTCCATGTTTCTAGATCGGCCATTGCAACTGAAAAACAGCTTTCGAGTGCTCGTAAGACGGCACACGAATTCAAGGGGAGGGGTTTGGGGGCAAGTGCCCCCTTGTACTGTCCCAAATCGATGAAAACGTGTCGTTATTCTCGAAAAGAAAGAAAACTCAATATCTTTTATTGGGAAAGTTTATGTTTAACGGCACGGCAGTGCGTAAGTAAAAGAAATCCGACGTTTTTATGTTAGAATAATCGGTCATACCTAATTAAAGTAAATCGTAAGACCAAATTCATCATCATGTTTTTTACATTTTGCAAATAGTGTCAAAATTGCAGAAAAGTCACCTGCGCCTGGCTATGTACTTTGGTAGGCACGTCCAGGGTATATTGAATTAGGGCACGTCTACACTGTCTGAGAACAGGTTACCCGAATCAAGGCTGGCGCTGGAAAACTTGTTGAACAGGTGAACATGGTCGGTTCCTGCATTTACTCGTCAGGTGCCATTGCCCCTGCTTAGCAGCGATGAGCGGTCGATCTCAGAAACGCTAACTAGGTCACAAGAATGCTATGGTTTATGCATTACACAGCGGTGCACTAGGGTGTGCTGCGACCGCGCAGTGCTTGTGTGATCGTTAGGTCAAACCTTAGATAAGTCTTTCACGGAGTACTTTATAAACATGGCTATTGATTGTTGGCGATTTTTTATATTATTTAAGTAGGTAGAACATTATCGGCTCGACGTTTAAAAGATTTTCTACCTACGAGCGGTTTAATAATTTTATCCCGTACCACCGATATGTTTCGGGCGCGGTAAAAAATACATTATGTATAAAAATACCACAATTTGTTCTTCTTAAAAGATTTGTTCTACCTACTCGCGGTTTAACCCGCGCACCGACGGGGGGGGGGGCGGATATCCGCCCCCTGAGGTTTTTCGCGAATAGCGGAAAAACCGCGGCGCGTAGCGCCACGAAATTTGGTATGACTTTAACCTCATCAATTTTACACATGGTGTGCAAGTTTGAACCTCCTACCTTTTAAGGTCAGGTCACCAGGTCAGGTCACTTTGAATGACCCAACCTCAAGTCACTTTTTTGCAACTTTGTCACCGTGCCAGAGCTACAGTAGATGTCGGAGGCCTTTGAAAGTCGCAGGATATTATTAGGTTATTAGTAGCTACAATTTGTATATCTCGGAATTTTGATATCGGTGACCTAAGGTCAGGTCAATTTCGCGACCTCCCCATTATAAGTCAATGGGGAAAAAGCAACTCCCTGTTTTTACCACTAAAACGGGTCGGAATGGCCCCATATACCATACATGACTTCATATACGATCATCCTTCACTACCTTCAGGTCTGTTTTGCTGTTGGGCAGCTGTGAGGTCATGTGACGTCATCAAAGGTCACCAAAGGTTTTTGGCCATCAACTCCGTACAGGAACAAGATACAGACGCGTGGATGGTCTCATTGTGTTCAGCTCGTCAAGACGCATCGAATGATATACATGATGACCTCGAGGTCACGTGACCTGAGGTCAACCTTTGACCTTGACCTTTCGAGGTCAACATATATATCATTCGATGCGGATTGACGAGAGGATCACGATGATGCCCTTAGTTTGTTCCTATCTTGACTAATTCGAAAGTTATTCGAGAAAAACTCTCTCCATATCTAGCGCCGCCATTTTGACTTTTTCGACCCCTGTGACGTCATCTTTGATCTGACCTGAAAATGACCTTAGTAAAAATTGTAGATCTTGGCCGTGCGTATCCGATGCCGTTTACCGCTTGTCGCTATCTTGCTTCGTTCTCGAGATCTCAGGGGGGCGGTCATCCGCCCCCCCCCCCGTCGGTGCGAAGTTGGCGCAGACCCCCGTCGGTGCGCGGGTTAAAATATATAATAACTGGAGAAATATACACAAATACAAATAAATAGATAAACACATAAGTTTGTCAATGGATAAAAACAGCACCAAATAGGTACTTGTTAAACGTCTTGTATATGTTACAGGCCGTATGAAAACTCAGTCCGTTTGCAAACGGCCTGGCCCGATTCAGGCCGTTTGCAAACGGCCTGGACAGCCCAGTCAGTATGCAAACGGACTGAAAAGTCAGGCCGTTTGAATACGGGCTGAAATTCCAGGCTGTATGCAAACCGCCTGAAATTTCAGGCCGTTTGCAAACCGTCTAGGCCGTATGACAATTTTCCAGACACCAGGCCGTTTGCAAACGGTCTAGGCATTTTGAAAACAATCTGGTCTGCATAAAGTTACAGCTGGACAATTTTGAGTTTGTTGAAGTACAACCGTTTCATGACATTACATGGCACCATGAAATCCTGAGGTGCATTCGGCATCCGGAAAAATATTGTCACCCGGATATTCTCGTCGGAAAATTATTGTTGAGCGCCTATCTTCAGCATGTCTCGTTATCGCGATACCGTTCGTGATCCCCGATGATTCTCGCTAGTTCCGGAAAAATCCCCTTGATTTTCCCGATGACGAATGCAGGCCTGGTCAGGAAGAGATTAGCAGAACTGAGACCCGGCCCCTATAGCGCCCGGTCGACCCGGGCTTCCCCCGGACTCCAAAGTTTCGCCTTCCACCGCAATGGTCAAGTATTGCCGGCGTACGCCACCGGCCAGCCGCCGGCGGTCGACCGGGCGCGGTGAGGACTCTAATGTGAACCAGTGGCGCGGGAACTTCTTCCAGACTGGGGGGGGGGGGGGGGGCTGAACCATAATAGAGATCAACCTAGGGTACCTCCAAATCTAGTTTTCTCACCGGTTTTAGGCCACTTATTTTTCAGACCTTGGCCTTTTCAACAAAAAAAAGAAAATATTTGCAAAAAAGTCAGGTATTCCGTCTCAGCTGAATGAGGAAACTACCGTTGTGGCAGCCTGGAATAAAGGTTTTAATCTGCCAAGTGAGTTGCCGAGCCAGTGAAAGAGGTGGATTTTTCACTTGCATGCTTTCTTCCTTTGTGACCCACAACCCCTAATTAGGGGAGAACAAGCTGCCCCAACGGTTCCTGACCTCTTGAAAAGTTGTGGGGCATTGCCCCTACGGCACCAGAGCTGTGGGAGCAAGCTTCCCCCACTGCCCCCTCCCCCGGTTCCCGCGCCTATGTAGGAATCTTTGAAATTATGTTGGTAGATTTCCGATTTCAATTCCTCCATCTGGGGGGCTCAAATACATTACGAGCCCCCCCCAGCCGAAAAGTTGGAGGGGCTCAGCCCCCGCTAGCCCCCCCCCCCCCGTTCCCCCGCCACTGATGTGAACTCTGATGTCCATTGCGCGCTCCGGCGTTTTATGTCGCAAAATAATCGGTGAGTCATGGATTGATACGTCATTTCACCAAACGGCAAACCTCACCAGTAGTGGCTTCACCAGGCTCCATCAACTGGATGGCCGTACACAGGCGGACCGTGAACTTGTATAATTAGTAATGTTGTCGAAAAACGGCCGGGCCGAACATCAGCACAGTAAGAAAATGTTCGACGTATGTAGACGAGACATTCGGCATGGAATGCGCAAGCATTCACAAGGATGCAACCTGATCATCGACCAACATGGATCCATTAAGTTCAATCTTCAGAGGCTGTTGTACTTCGCCAGACCGTTTGAAAACTGACTAGGTCGTTTTCAAACTGTTTAGGCCGTTTCAAACCGCCTAGGCCGTTTTCATACGGCCTGATATTTCAGGCGGTTTGCAAACGGCCGGCTTTTTCAGGCCGTTTTCAAACGGCCTGACTGGGCCAGGCCGTTTGCAAACGGACTGGGTTTTCATACGGTCTGTAACATATACATTTCGCCTAGTCTGAAATATGTCTTATTTTCTGTATAAAATGTATTTTGCTACCTTTAACCCTCGCCGGACCTATTGGTTTTCTACATACGCGCCGGCCGAGGGGGGGGGGTACGACCCCCCCTCGCCGTTTCGCCCCTGGTGGAGCTAGCGCGTCGCGGAAAAAACGAGCGTGTGCGCCGTTACGAGACGCAGAGATTGGTACCCGATGTTAAGGTCCTAGGTCAACCGGTGACCTCTGAGGTCAGGTCAAGTGCCCCAGGGTACGGTTCAGTTTTTGGTGAATAACTTCGCAAAAAACGGCCGCAGAGCCGCGATTTTGGCAGCATCGTGTTCGCCTCGCTCAGGCGCGTCGAATGATATACTTTTTGTCCGGGTCAGGTCAACTTGGGGTGTTGACCTCAGGTCAAGGTTAGGTCAGCACCCCCAGGTCACGAAGTTGGTCGAAAGAGGTCATGTCGCATATCATTCGATTCGGCAGGTC